GCATTGTGGCAGGCGCCTGTGGTCCCAGCTACTTGGGAGGCTGAGGCAGGAGACTCGCTTGAGCCTAGGAGTTGGAGGTTGCTGTGAGCTGTGATCCACGCACTCTACCCAGGGGGATAACTTGAGGCTCTGTCTCAAAAAAAAAAGAAACCAATCTAGGGATGTATTTTCCTGTCTATTTTTTCCTCAGTGAAAATTTTCCTAGAATAAAAAAAAAAAGTATCAGAGATCAAGCTGGGGATACTAAAGTTTTTAAAATCAAAATAAATCTAGATGAATCATTTTTAAAATACTTACAGGAGATATAACGTTATTATTTTCACAATTAGAAGTTAAAATCCTACATCTTTGATAAACATCAATCAGATCCAGCATGTTACTCTTCTTCAAGAAATTATCATAGGTCTTCTTAACGTTCTCATAATGGTGAAGCACTTCCATATTTTCAACTGGTAAATTCAATTTCTCATGTACTAAGTATTTCCAGGTCAATATGACATCGCTGAGAGAGACTGTGAATTCTCCTCTGTGCTGAAAAGGATGATTAAAAAAAAAAAAAAAGATAAAGTTGGTTGCCAAAATATTCAATAACTTAAAACTGAGATAAAAGATACAAATTACATTTTGTCATAGTAGTCTACACTGAACTCTTTTGGCTTTGAAGTAACATCCAACTTTTGAACAATGAAATAATCTTCAAAATTAAATATACAAGAAAAAGGTTTTGATGATTTTATAAAATATGAACAGCTAAGGCAAGTTTGCACATGACAAAATTGGTCAATACGTGTCTTATTTCCTGAACTTCATTACATTTTATCTACCCAAAGTGGAGGAATGGGTGGGCAGTCAGTTGTACTTAAATACTATTGATTGGAAAATCCTTTGATTTTGTTAATATTAGTTCCTTTTAGCTAATCTATTTTTAACCTCTTATTTAAAATATAGTCAGGACAGTGCCTATGGTTCAGTGGGTAGGGCACTGGCCCCATATACTGATGGTAGCGAGTTCGAACCCGGCCCCAGCCAAACTGCAGCAAAAAACAGCTAGGTGTTGTGGTGGATGCCTGTAGTCCCAGCTACTCAGGAAGCTGAGGCAAGAGAATAGCTTAAGCCCAGGAGTTGGAGGTTGCTATGAGCTGTGATGCCACAGCACTCTACTGAGGATGATAAAGTGAGACTCTGTCTCTAAAAAAAAAAATTAAATTAAAAATAAATTAAAAATAAAATATAGTCAATACCATAGTGAATTCCCACATAATATAATGTTGCAAGTATTTGTCTTAAAATATGGTCAGAGATTAAATTGTGTTTCATTTCATTAGTCATAGAAAAAGCAAAATATTAGTACTAAAACCTTAGGCTGGAGAATTTTGATTCTTTGCTGCTCATGGACACAAGAAACTATAACAAGTGCTAAAAAGCCATAAACAAGTTTCTTTCTATAACTTGTCAGATGTACTAATGAGGTAAAAACATTCCTTTTCCTTCTTTTTTGACTGTCTCTCTATCAGAAGAAATAAAACAAACTATAGTCTGGCTACAGTGACATACAGTTGTTCCAGACCCACTAATGTTACCAACATGTTTGAATGTCAATATTTTATTTAACTATAGAGTTTTCTTTAAAGACTCTCATTCAACATCCACATGATAAACTCTGAGTAGACATGTTGAAGGTTTATTTTTTATTGACTATATTCTGCTCCTTCACTAATATTCCAGATATTAATAATACCACCTTCAGAAAAATATCAGCCCTAATTCAGTAAAAAATTCTAACTACTGGCTAGGCGCCTGTAGATCAGTGGTTAGGGCAGCAGCCACATACACAGGGGCTGGCAGGTTCAAACCTGGCCCAGGCCTTCCAAACGATGACAACTACAACAAAAAAAATAGCTGGGCATGGGGTGAGTGACTGTAATCCCAGCTACTTGGGAGGCTGAGGCTAGAGAATCACTTAAGCCCAAGAATTTGAAGTTGCTATGAGCTGTGATGCCACAGCACTCTACCAAGGGCAACACAGTGAAACTGTCTCAGAAAAAACAAATTCTAACTACTTCATTCAAATGCAGCATGAATAATGAATGTTTTTGAGTATTCATATATGATTTTGTGAGATGTCATATGTTACTACCTTTAACAGTTAGGTTTCTTTAATATATTAATAATTTCTGCTAATAGCAAGATTTGTCCATTAATTGCATTGAAATATGGGCCAGGTGCAGTGGCTCACATCTGCAATTCCAGCACTTTGGGTGGCCAAGGCAGGAATTTAAAGCTAGCCTAAGAAACATAGCAAGACCCAGCTCTACAAAAAAAAATTTTTTTTTCTGACACTACTGCATGTCTTTATTCTTATTTATATATTGGTGGCATAGTGCTGATGTACATTCCCATCTTTGCAAAGCTCTTCCCTCACCCTTCAGCTTCCATAACAATTTATTTTTTTGGAATTGAGCTATATTTTATGCTGAATGAACCTAACAGATATATACAGTATGATATATGTAGCAGCAGCAGAATACACATTCTTTTCAAGTCCACACAGAACATTCTCTAGGATACATTCTATTTTTTAAAAAATACCCAAGTGCAGTGGTGCCTATCTATAGCCCTATACTGTTTGGCTGAGACAAGTGGATGATTTGAGCCCAGGAATTTGAGACTGCAGTGGGCTACTATACTCCTGCCTAACAACTGAGATAAAAAATACAAATTCAATTTTAATTAGACCTAATTGAGTTCACAGTTAAAATGAAGTCAAAGCCTGAGAGACAGAGCAAGTCCCTGTCTCTAAAAACATATTTTTAATTAAAAAAAAATTTTAAATGAGGGAGTAAATAGGGCTATAGTTCACTAAAAATAAATTACAACAACAAAGAATAGTCAAACACATTCAAATAATATACTATTTTCTATATACAGAGGGTGCCAAAAATTTTATAGACATTTTAAAAAAGGAGAAAACTGTATTAAAATTATAAAAGTATATACAAAAACAAAAGATGAATACAAGTCACACCAAAAGCCTCTTGTAATTGCAGAAGTCAAATGTGACTTGAGTATTATATTTTTAATACAGTTTCTTCCTTTTTAAAAATGTGTGTACATTTTTTGGCACCCTCCATATTTAATACCTTTAAATCTGTATCTTTTTTTTTTTTTTATAATAAATAGCCTCTTTGACTAGCTACTATTCAAATTTAAGAGAAGGTGTACAAATTGCCTTAAAAAAATAGCTTTTGGCCAGGTGCACTGGCTAACATCTGTAATCCTAACACTCTGGGAGGCCAAGACAGGTAGATACCCTGAGCTCAGGAGCTCAAGAGCAGCCTCAGCGAGATCCCATCTCTACTAAACATAGAAAAACTAGCTGGGCATCATGGTAAGCACCTATATTCCCAGCTACTTGGGAGGCTAAGGCAAGAGGATCTCTTGATCCTAAGAGTTTGAAGTTGCTGTTAAGCTATGACCTATGACACCATGGCACACAACCCCAGCTCTGTCTCCAAAAAGTTCTTTACTAATTTATATACACATAACTAAGAAAATTTTCCTCATTGTCTTTAAAGTAGGGGGCTATTATATCATGAATATAAAAATTAATTATAATTTATGAAACTACTTTAATGAACAAGCAGGAGAAAATCAGGAACTCTCAAACCTTGGATCATTACCTAATATAAGACAGGGTTGCAATTTCCCAACACTGCACCAAAAACTGTATACTTTACTTCCCAATCCCACCAAGGTTACACACCAGAAAATTTCCAAATGGTATTTAAATTAAATAAATCCAGTTATTTAAGTTTCAAAACTAAATTGTTTTATCTTAAAAACTCCTAAAACTGTTTTTAGCATAACATCCTCCATGTTTAAAATAAATTAAGATTTTTGTTGTACAATTTATTCTCACCCCTTGTTGACTATAACTAGTTAAAGTAAAACTATGCAAGCTCTTGATCTTGTAAGAAAAGGTTTTGACTAGATTAACACTGTTTATACTGGGATTGTAAAAACATTTTAAATCCAAATGAAAATGCACTCCAGATATCAGTTTTCATGATCAGGTGCCCACCATGACAGCATATTCTATTATTCGAACCAGTAACAACTGATTGAGAGAGTCTGTGGTCAAATCAGAAAATGTTTTGCTAGGATAACATGCCAGCTGGCTAATATATGAAGGAAGTTCAAAATGTTCAATGCTTTAATTCTCTGATGAACATAAGAAGGATTGTATTTCACAAGAATAAAATGAGAAAAAGCAAGTATATTTTTTAAAGCACTTGTACTCTGTATGGTATAGCAAAATTATTTTTACAATCAAAATTTTAAATAAACTTTATACTTTTAATTAACTGAGTAATTTGTTATCTTTAGAGAAAAGTAAGGTCTAGCTAAGAGCACTAGTTGGTTGTGTGATTTTGGGTAAACTATTGATAGCCTTCTGAGTCAGTTTCTTTGGTTATAAAATGAGATTATACAAATTAAATAATACCTGATAGTAGATAATTTAAAATGTTAATTTTCTTCCTCTTCCACTATTCAAAATAAAATAATTATTTTGGGGAGATGGGTGGTAATAAATGTAATACAGTTTTAAGATCTGTTTCTTCTTATTGTTAGGTCACTGGTCATTTTCAAATCTAACAGTCAGCTACAGTTACTGTGACTGTTTTCCATGAAATTATAAAATTTATATCTTAATCATTAATACATTCAACAACAGACAAACTAACAACTCTACTAGGTATTTAGAAGTTTTACTAGAGGGGTGAGGCATGATCCTTGACTTCATGGTCATCTTTAAAAAAAAATATATGACTTGGGTGTAATTCTGAGCAAAAAGTGTAAGAACCTACGGGAAATTTTATGGGAAAAAGTTACAGAACAGAACAAGAAGAAACAAGATTTCAGCAGACATCAACCTCCAAGTAATCTGGAGCCCCGCAGAAACAGTAGAAAGAGGTTGTTTCTGTTTCCCTCACACCTCTGGCAGAGGACTGGAGAGCTTCTCCACCCTCAGGAGCTCCAAAGCTGCTGCCACCAATGAACTGGGAGCTTACTGAAACTAAGGCACCAGGCTGCCAGCCTCCTTGGGTTCCCATCCTCTCACCACAGACTGGAGTCAGGAAATGGGCAGCCCCCAGCATGTGTGCCTTCCTCCTCAGGCAGATTCAGCCCTTCAGTTTTCTTATCACTGGTTCCCACACAAACATTCCCGAATTCCTATCCAGACTGCAGTGGCCACAGGGGGGCCAGTCCCAGAGGAACTGTGTGCTCTTGAGAGAGTGAACATTCTTAGCCAGGCTGCCTTCCAACAAGAGAGACAAAGGGAACAAGAGTGCCAGACCTCCCCCACCAGGACTCCTCTCATCCTTCCCCTCCCCAGCCACTGCTGCAATAGCGCCAGTTCTCACCTGTCAGCACAGGTGCCCCAAGGAATGTGTGAGCTAGGACTCTGAGGAGCGGCTGTTTCCCCTCCATTGGTGCACCTACCATGTCTTTCCTCTTAAAGGCCTCAA